TGCTTAAAATCATCCATTATTTCTTTCCTTTTTTTCTTTTAGATAGTATTAAATTATATTTAATTGAAGTTAATAATTGTTGGCTTGAACCTGAATAAATGAGAGGAAATTTAAGCTATATAAATATTTTTCTCTTTCCTAAATAATAGGCTTCTTGAAGGTAAGCAGCTGACTGAGTTTTCTCCCTCCTTTCTCTCTAGAAAGAAACCCAGATTCTCCACAAGCAACTGGCAGAGTTACGAAAACAGGTGTGTAGTTTATAACTGGAACACACTGGGTCTCTTAGAACTGCTTATCTTCCATTGTTGAAGAGCTGTGCCTCCATAGTGACTGCCTTTTCAAAGACTCACAGTGGTATTTTGTAAGCAGTGGTCTTTAAGGACACTTTAAAGCAGAGAACCCTTTTGGCAGCAACAGAGCAGGACATTTTGGGAGAGTTTGTCCACAAAGCATTTTGCACTTCTCTAAGGAATTCTGTGATTTTTTGTTTAATTTTTCAAAATATTTTTATCCCTGTTTGAATCATTCATTGTGGTTTTGCTCTTGAATGCACTGTATTGAATGCACAATGCATTGCTGTGAAAAATATTAAACGCCATCAAGTCAGTGCTGACCCTGTGATTGATTTTCTCCAGAATGAATTAAAAATAGTTTTACTTTGCATGCATATTCCTTGCTGTGAAGACTAGAAATTAGTCCTTGATGTCATTTGTTCTTGTTTTAGGTTTTTGTTCTACAATCACAGCTATCACTAGAACGGAAGCAGAAACAGAATTATATCATCAGCTGTACCAAAAGAAATCAAGAGCTATCAGATTTACATCAAGAGCTTGCAGATTCTTTAGCTATTGTGGCTAGGGAACCTAAGGCAACTATTCTGGAATCAGAGACTCGCAAGCTTGATGAAACCCTGAATAACAGTTTGACGTTGGGAGCTGTAAGCTCGAATGGTGTCTTATCTGGAAAACATCTAGTAAGCTCAACACCCAGAAGAGTCCATCAGAAGCCCACAAGATAGCATAAGCTGACAGGCAAAGTGGCAGAAGCAAGAAATTACTGACACTCCAGCATAAGCTAACAGGACTTTAAAAAGTTATCGGTATGATGGATCCTCCCCCTTATTCAGCCTGCCTTGATTTCAAGGGCCTATCCTGCCAGTTTTGATCCTTTAGAAATATAATTCCAGATTCTTTGGAACCAGTGAAGATCATCTCAATACTGGCTGAGAAAGAACAAAAGTAGTTGAGAGACTGCATGCTAAGTGACTGAAGATATGCAGTGTGGAAATCTTTGGACAAAACAAAATTCAAAGCCAGTGTATGAGAACTAAACAAAGAAAGGACTGCTTACCACCATTGAATTTCTGGTAGGAAGAATGGAAGTTCATTCCAGGAAATGAGTCATGAGAAAACGGAACTCATTAAAAAGATTTCCAGCTTTGTTTTGCATAGTTACATGGGAAAGTACCTGATCAGAGAGAGGGATCTCAGTCGAAATATTAATTTTAGTTTAATATTCTTATTGGTAGAGATATCCTTTCCTAAACCGTTGTACAGCAATTTGCTATAAGGTATATCGAGTGGGTTTTTTTAACATTTTGTACTAAAGAGTTTTCTTAATATTTATAATAAAAAATGCATTTTCATTTTTCTTCTCTTTGCTCAAATAATCTTTCATATGAAGCTTTTTTGCTTCTTGAGATTGTGGTATGTGTGTATATGGATAGATAGTATTTATGTATAGCCATTATATACAAGGACCCCTGGAGGTTTATGTCTACAAGGAATATTTAAAACCATACCATTGTAATGAAAATAGAATACAAAAAAATAAGTACCAGAATAACAAAACTACTCAGTTCCCAAATATCCCCTGAAACAATTCCTTTTTTACCGATTTCCAGAAGGCCAATATTGAATGCGAGCTAGCGGTAACACCTAAGAAATACTGTCTGCAAAACTGTGACTCCTTCACCTCATGGAACTTAAAAGAGAAATGTTGTTGGAGTGATGAGACAGAGGAGTTGCTTCTACACAGATTTGTTCCAGAAAGTAGCTACACCAATTCATGGTTTAAAACTAACCCTTGGAAATCTATTAGCAACCAGTGTAGCAACTGCAATGCAGGTGATACAATTATAACAATTTTCATTTGCCTATATGCAGGCCACTATATTTTGATATATTTATTCAGTTTACTTTATGTTGTTAACTTCTGCTTAACTCAGAAAAATGTATTGACTTCTATATTGACTTTAGTCTTCATGCTAGTTCCCAGACTGCAATAAAGAAAGAACAAGCTTTGATTAAAATGTTTCAGCTAGGCACTGTCTGCCATCTTGTCACATGATCTTGCAGACAGACAGACTTAGAAGGTGATAGGCAGAAGCCTGAGAAATAAGTGGGAATGAAATAAGGTTTTCACAATAGGTTTTCACAAGTGGGAAGAATGGAAGTGAAAACAGGCTGATGAACTAGCAGGAAGGGAGAATTATCACTGGCATTTTGGAGAGGAAGAAAAAGATGGCTGCTGAAGCCAAGATGCATTTACACAGCTTTAAGTGTTGAAAATTTACTGATTCCAGAGTGACCACTGAAGAGTTCCAGGATGAAGGGAAGATTACTGAAAATAGGAAAGGACCAGACTTCAAGGGCTCATTCCTACCTGACCAGAGGATCAAAAGAAAGAGGACCAGCATTCTATCAGCCTGAAAGATTACCAGCTAAGCTCTTGGTTCACTCTAAAGAGGAGGGGATTTAGGGATAGCTACACATAAAGCTGCAAGCATAAGATAGATTCTGCCTTGTTAGAAGAAAGATTACATAGCAGGCAAGGAAATAATTTAGAAATGCTAGAGGAATTTATTTTTTTTAACCACATACCAAACCCTTACAGCCAAGTTATAAGATGGAGTTGGGAGATCTATTTGAGTATCGGCTTGACCTTTACCTCAAATCCTGCTATGCTGCCTCATTGTGGTAGGAGTTGGAGGTGGAATCCCTGGGAAGGATGAGTGTAGAACAGCAGAAGCATACATCACATGTTTATACTCTCAGCAAGGTCAACCAAGGTATGAAGCTCATCCTAGCTGTCCAGCTAAAGGAAAAAGGTCCACATATTGGGCAGAAGCTATATAGGAAGATGCTGGAGGCAGATGACCACTTTAGTGACAGTGGCAAAAGCACCTATTCATACTGTGGAAGAAATCAGCGGTAAACCATTCTTGTATGTATTCAAAAATATACAAGATAAAGTGATTGATGATGTAGTGCTGGATGATGGGCCCTTTAGGTTGGATGGCACTCAGCAAGATGGCACTCAGCATGCTACTGAGGAAGAACAGAGGTTTTTTTGGGGTGACTAATAGTGTTTATGACATGACTAGATAAAAGCCTCCAGGATTTCTAGTTGCTAATGTTGCCAGGCAAGAGAAGAAATTCCTAAACTGCTAAGAATGTAAGAAGCATGAACATGAAAAAGCTCAACAGTGAAAGATGAAATTAATCAACTACACATTGACATCTTAGGCATCAGTGAATTGAACAAACAAGGAATGGTATTGCTTTCATAGGAAGGATATAGCAAAGAAAGTACTTGGGTACAGTCCCTGGATCTTTATAATGTACATATCTCCTGCTGTTTTCAATAACCAGAGGTAACCAGAGAATAACAGTTACCATAGAAGTTCCTCTCCCCTCTGTTGCTATTTGATCATCATAACTATGAAATTAAAAATTACTGACTAGTGGCTAGCGAAGTAAGTGAATAACTACAAGTCTCATTTTTTAATTTTAAAAATGTTGAAATGCTTTAATAGCATAAAGTTAGAATAGCTGTAAATCACAAACAATTTTACTGTTTGATCTGAATTGGGAGAGTAGAGAATAGAACAGCACTTTGTGGACCTTTACAAAAGCATGGACGGGGGTTAAAACGTGTGTTTCCCAGTTTCAGATTTAATTCCTAGTGAGGTATAAAGTCATTGAAAGTTGCACTGCAGTTGTGTGTTGACTTTCAATAGTTAGGGCTTAGATAACACTGGAATAATGTTTAATATATTTTATACTTGTGTTTTCAAATTGCTCATCCTCCAAATGGGCTAATTTGGAAGTAGAATAACAATAGAGGTGTTCCCATATTGTTTAGTTAAGTAGGCAAATGCCTTGCAGGAGTTCATTCATTTTAAATATTTCTCAGAGAAAGAGGCTTTTTTTAAAAAAAAAGCACATTAAACAATCCTGGGTTTTGTACAAAAAAAAAGTTCAGTACAGGGTATCAGGTATTCCTTAACACTTTAATACTGGAATAATATTGTATCTTTCCATACCCACACTATCTTCAGCTGGTATTTCTAACTTTCACATATTCCAGAAACTCAGCCCTCGGTTGGTTATTTCTTCACTATATTTATATTATATGTTGTATACGCCACCACTTCTTGCAACTAGTGGTCAGTAGCATAGAGTTGCTCATTATCTGTTCTCAACAATGGTTCACTTCTCCAGAATTACAGACAACTTCAGCGATACGCATCTTGGTAACTGAACTGGGTATTTCAGGGTCCAGATGAAACCCGCCGTAAATGTCCCTGGGGGTTGTTTGAGAGTTGCCAATGGAAATTCCTAAAAGAAAAAGCCGCATGATATATCATATACAACTTGGCGGAATTCATCAGAAAGAAAGTGGTTTATGACAACCCAGAAGTTTAATTCGAACTCCCCATATCGAAACGTCTAAACATAAGAAACAAAATGATGTAACGCTTAGACCCAGGTTACACGAAAGATTCGCCGTTGTGCGGCCCAAGACGTCATTCGCTTAAGCCCCCCCAAAAATCGCTCCGCTTTGCCGACGAGGACGAAACACTCGTCAAAACCAAGACCCCCAGCTTCTGAGAGAAAGCCGATACCCGTCGCCGCCCCCTCGATAACTGGCAGAGGGCGGGGCGAGGGCCGGAAGTTCGTCGCGTCTTCTGGTTCGCGGGAGGGGGAGTGTCCATCATGGAGTCGCTTTGGAGACTGAAGCGGTTCGATGCCTTTCCCAAGACGCTGGAAGATTTTCGGGTCAAGACGTGTGGCGGCGCGCTCGGTGAGGGACCGCGGGCTGCCCGAGGACTACTGGACTCACAGGGCTGTTGTTGTGAGGAAGACAGGGGGGATCCGCTTGCAGAGATCTCTGCTGGTCTAAAGCAATCTTAAGTTGAGGCATAGTCTTGCACATGCAGACAGATTAGCTTGATGTTTCCTGTGTGAACAGAAAAGAGTTTGGCGTATTTGTTATCTTTTGGTCTCGGGGATTGTTCGCGAAGTTCGATCTTTCGTGGCTTGGTGATCTGTAGCGAAATGGTCATATTGAGGAGTATCGAGGCTGAACTTAATGTGATTTCTTCTGTTACGTTTTTATACATAACGTTTTCTCAATGCCTGCAACAGCATTAATTCAGAAAGCAGTCTATTTTATTATGTGTGCATTGAATGTGATATGTGAGGTGGTCGTTTAAAGAAAATGTAATCTCCGCAGTTAGAACTTCCTTTTAGCAAAATAATATTTAAGAATGCACAGAATAGCCAAGTTCGTGAAGCGATTGTTTGGTACAGCTTTGGTACCACTTGCTGGTAAAGAACCTAAATGCATTTTTGTAGCAGTCTAAGGAACTGTTCACTCTCTTGAAAAAAAAAAAATCAGACTCAGTCAACTATCTATTCATTGTACTTGCTCAAGTCTAGAACCATATGGTTGATTAGATTTTTTTAAACAGAGAGATCTTTGAGCCTTCGCTCAAGTCAGGTGTCATTTAGTGCTCAGTAAAACCCCAAATATATCTTCTACTGAGGACAGACAAATTGCCTTATATTGGCTTTTGTTTTCTTTGCTTATTTTAAAGTAATCCATACTATTTTATAGTAACATAAGGATGAGAGAAAGAATCAGAATTGATCTTGCAGAGATGTAGGATGGCTGATTTTTGGGGATTTCATTGCTTGTTTAAAATTTAAATTTTAAAAAATATAGCTTAAGCCTCTCAAAAGTCTTTGTAAATGTTTGTAAAATATGTATGAAGCAATACATTATCTCTTTTGGGAATAATTTTTTTGCTATATAGTACTTTTGCTACAATATGTTTTTCACTTGAACTGGCCCAAGTTTTTTATTTATCTGTCAGACAGGTATATGTTTCTGAATTTTTTGCTTCCCTGGATTCAGCACCACTCCTTTTAGAAAGGTAACAATTGTAGAAATTTTAAAGTAATGAAAACAGTTTCCTGGAATTTGAAAAAATTAAATATATGCATTGCTTTTTAAGTATCCCTTTGAAGATGCTAGTCAATTGATCCTGCTGGCAATGTTCAGCCCTATCCTTTGGGGACTCTTTGAGGATAAGAACAGATTCACCAATCTTTAGAGATCAAAAGTCAACAAGAGGAAGGAAGACTTTACTTAAAGACTGCACCCTTCTCTTAAGAACATAATATCAGTGTTCCCTGGAGAAAGAAGTACATTTTGCATTTGCATGCAGAAATTATGATAAACTCTTATCATAAATGCTCATATAAAAGGGTATATATTCTATTATATAGCTTTTAAAAATTGTGGGAATAATGGCTGGATGGTAGTATATGAATATTTAACCATTTAATTTATCATTGAAAGAGAAATATTAGGACATATTCATTATCCATATTTTATTTTTCCACTTTTTTAAATGCCATGAAAACTAAGAAGGGACTTTTCTTCCTGAATTTTTGTTGTTGTTGTTTTTATTTTATATTCTTCTCTGTGAGCTCCTTACTTTCTTTTATCGGATACTATTTTTCTACCCAGTTATTGGCACGGTGTGGAAAAAGCATGTACTGTATTGCATCTGAATAAGGCAAACATGTCTGTTTACCAAATGATCCTGCATTAGGAAGTTTCACCAGGCCATTACTTTTCAACATGCAGCTGGAGTGGAAAATACATTTTTCACATGTTTTTGCATGCATTTTTTTCTTCTGTGAATATAATATTTGTATTTTAAAAATTTCATACAAGGAATGATTTTGCATGTGTAAAGCAGAAGTTGATCAGTTAATATGATATTGCAGTCCAGACTAGTTGGCTTAATTATTTCTTGGGTTGGTTCATCATTCTAAAATTCGATGTTGACTCAAACCTTTATTAGAAAGCTTTCAGGGGGTTGGGGGGGTGGGGATAGTCTGCTAATTTGTTGTACCTAAAGCAGCCATTATTATGTTGTCCTAAGCCAGTGCTTATTCCAGCTACATTTCTAAGGAATGAAAAGGTGTTTTAGATAAAAGGGTGGTGTTGAATCCTTTTCTCGCAACAAGGCGCTCCATAGAGGTTGATTTATTTCCTGAGAAATCCTCAAATTTTCATGCACTTTTACAGTGCTGAGCATTTTATCTGGATGCACTGGGTGAGCCCCAGATAAAATACGCTGCATGATTCCCTGAGTAAACCAAAAATGCTTGTAGTGTTATTTCCTTAAAAGGTATGCATTATATGGAAAAATTAAATATTTTGGACAGCTTTCAGGGAAGCCATACTGAGGGCCCCTGCTGATTCTGAGGTATCCCATATATTTCTAGCACATGCACACACGTGCACATGTGCACACGCACCAATTGTTAGGGAGATGATGATGATAATTTATTGAACTTGTATCCTGCCTGACTCTCAATGACTCTGGGTGGCTCACAACAATTAAAGAAATTACAATAATATCAATAAAACATAAATGGCTAGAGTTCAGTGGTAGATCAAATGCTTTTCACTTCAGGTTCACTTTCTGGTCTTTCTGTAGAATGGGGAAAGTTTTGTTTGAAATTCTAGAGAAACTGCCTATCAGTGTAGATCATTGATTAAACCAGCTAAATACTTTTCACTTCTATGTTCCACAAATGTTAATATCATGATAGATGTATAAGTTTTAAGATATGACTACATGTAACTTTTCTTTCCTTCATATACAGTGACTGTAGTTAGTGGACTCATCATGTTCTTCCTGTTCTTCTCAGAGCTCCAGTACTATCTCACAAAGGAGGTAAATGAGTTGGTTTTTTTCTTCTTGTCCTTAGATACACGTTTCTAAATATAAGCCTTACATTGTCTCACATGTTCTTTAGAAGCAGATACTGTATTAGACAGGACCAAATGGATTCAAGGTCAGTTCCCTGTTCACCATAGGAAATCTGGGCATCTATGGCCCAGTTATTGCCTTTCAGGCTAATTTATCTTACAGGGTGCCTGGAAAGATAAAAGGTGGATCATGTATGCTACCCTGAAAGTGGAATAAAAAAATATTTATTGTTGTTGTAGGCCACCTTGAGGACTTACATAAGCGGAAAGTATCCATAGGTGTAGATTTATGAGGAAATTGCTTTGACTTTCATAATTGTATTTTAAATCTTTATTAAAAGTCATGTAGTTTGGAGTTATTAACTGTTACTCTTGTTTCACTGCATTTTCTTTGCTTGCCTCTTTTGCACACATCTAATCAAAGGAAATATTACTGCAATTTCCTTTCTTCTACCCTAATATGATTGTTGTGCCTCAAGAGGATTTTCCTTTACTTTATAACAGGTGTCTTGAAAGAAGCAGCAAAAATTGAGTGTCTCCTACTCACTAGACTGTAGTAGTGCTCTTCAGCTAAATTCTCTACATTGTTGCCCTCCAGATATATTAGGCTACAACTTTGAGGAGTCCAGAATATTGGCCCTGCTGGCTGGTTTTTATGGGAATAATTGTCCAAATCAACTTCTGTGCTTTAGGTTTCCAAAATCCACAACTAATCCTCTTTAGCTCTTTGAATATGGGATGCTTAAAAGCAAGCAAACCTCTGAAGCAAGTTAAAAAAACTCCTGATGAATTTTTGAATTGAATGTATGTATTTATTTATTGCTTTTTTTAATATAATATAAAATGTCAGAAATCACTTTTGAATGTCACCTTTATCAAATTCTCATGAAGTCTAGCTTAAAATTACCCAGTCAAATAAGAAGGTGGGAGGCATAAATATTAAGGCTACTAAATCTGGGCTGCAGGAATCTGAACCACCAATAAATGGCAGCAGTGAGATCCAGAAACCTCTAACTTGTTGCTCTCATCAAGTGAGCATCCAAATGTTTGCATCCTAGATATGATAGCTCTACAAGGATAGAATTAGCACTTGTTCATCTAGCCCAATATTACTGATACTAACTGGCAAAAGTTGTCAAGGCAGGGATTTTCCTAGTCCTTCCTGGAGGCTCCAAAGAGTAAAACATGGAACTTTTGTATAGAAAGCAGGTGTTCAACCACTGAACTCTTGTTGTTCACCTAAAAATAAGAATATTGAGCCTCATGGTCTGAATTAGCAAAACCCCTTGCCTTTCAGCAAGTCAGACCCTTGTTCTGTCTAATACAGGATTCCCAAAATTGTTAGATGCCCACTAGTCTTTCAGGCTGATCTTTTCTTGTACAAGTAATCCTCATCTTATGTCCATTCGTTCGGTGACTGTTCAAAGTTACGGCGGCACTGAAAAAATGGATGTACAACCAATTCTCAAAGTTCCAGCTGTCACAGCACCCTTGCGGTCACGTGATTGCAATCTGGGCACTTGGGTGCCCAGCTCATGATTACGAGTTTGCAGGGAGCTGCAGTCATGTGATTGTCATTTGCAACCTTCCCTGCCAGCTTCCCACAAGCAGAATAAATGGGGAAGCTGGCAGGGAAGGTTGCAAGTTGCTCAGCTGTCTCCCCCACTCATTCACTCTCCCCCAGCCCTTCTGCCCTTGCACCGTGTCTAACTGGCCACTTGCACACCCTCCCTGAGCAGCTTTCCTGTGCTTGTGCCATGCTGCACTCTCTACCCCTGGCTTTCCTGTGTTTGCGTTTGCGCTGCACTAAGCCCTCCACCCTACAGCCTTCCTGCATTTGTGCTGTGTCATGCCCTCCATCCCACAGCCTTCCTGCACTTGTGCGGTGCCACACCCTCCATCCCACAGCCTTCCTGTGCTTGCGCAGTACCTCAGCACCCCCCCCAGTCTTCCCTAACTTGCGTGTGGCCTGCACCGGGCCTCCTCCAGCCTACCTGTATTCTTGTTAAAAATTATTATTATTATAATTTTCAAAGAAAAATAAATAATGTTGATACAAATACACATTTAAAATAATATAGAAAGAAAAGAAAAAAGAAGAAAGAAAGAACCAGAATAAGCAATGAAATATGGGTGGATAACCAACAGATCTAAAACATCATATGGCTAATATGTTCTAATAAATAATGCCCATTGATTTAAGAGGGCAGTACAAATGTGTGGGAATAAGTGATCCTGTAAATAGCTTGGGCCTAAGCTATGAATACTTTTTTTTGTTTGTTTTCTTTGTTCTTAGGTTCA